TTCTCCCAGTCTCCGACTACACTCAAGGCGCTATACCTCGTTTAAATCTCTATCTACACATTTCTGAAACTCAGTATTCCGCCAAACTTCAGCCTACATGGAGTTTACTTCAACGATTGAATATCAAAGCAAATGTTGGTCTAAGAGCTTGGTCGCACTGTGAATTTTACATGCAGATTCATCCTGTTGAATAAGGACATTGGCACAAAATAATGACTCAATTTTCAATTTTAATGGAGCCATATATTCACCCACGCACTTGTGCGGCAAATGGACTTGGGGCGAGGCGAGCATGCATTGGGCATCGACATAATTAACCCGGACTCGAAAATAGATCGCGAGTCATCGATTCAAAAATGTGCCAGTCGATCATGGCTTGACGCACTAAAGAGCTTATTTTGTCTGGTCCAGTGGCAAGGCCTGAATGATCGATTATCGATACATCCCCATTCGAAGCTATGGTAAAGAATCGATAATTTAGGTGTTTGTTGCGAATACCCTGTTTATCGATCCTTACCCATAGGTTTAAATGGCAGATCAATCGATATATTGCAAAGCATGCCACTGGCTCGATCTTGAAGACTCTCCCTGCTGTGCTGATACTGTTTAAACATGAAGAGAGTACACCCTCAAAAATGTTTGATGATTGTAGTGGTTCGTGTTTATAAGATGATATGAATTTCACACATTTTCGCCATCAAATCTTAGATTCTAAGCACGATCCAATGGATCGCCCTGCCACAGAGTTTGTATTAATCTTAGAATCGGACGTATTAATGCTGGAAAGGGCTATGCTCCACGCAAATCCTGTGCTCATAGATCCTTTCATCAAAAATGCGTTATGAACACAGGGTTTATACTATAACAATTTAATTTCTTAGAGTGTACTTAAGTGATGATATTAATTTGTTTGATGATATTACCTTTCTTTCGATCACTTGTTATCAGATTTTAGGCGATAGCTATTTCGATGTTACGTACACATCAAGTTGACTTTTAGTGTTTACCAAATCTAAGTGGCCTGACGATGATGTGTACGTAACATCGAAATAGCTATCGCCTAAAATCTGATAACAAGTGATCGGGAGAAAGATCATATCATCAATCAAAATGCAGCCCGATGAAAAGAAGTTCAACTTTAAATTGATGGAATTAAGCTTAAAGAAAACTGACGGCACCTCATACACCCCAACGATGACATCAGCGCCACCCCAACATTACCATCTGATATCCAATCATCAAGCAAGGCAAACTATTAACAATACAAGGAAACTGCAGCTGCTAATCTTAAGATTCCAATATCAAACAGATTTCTTTTAAATTGGTGCAACCATGTATTTTATTAAAAAACTTCATCGTATTTCTAGGCCCGGCAGGCTAATCAATCAGGCATTGGAATGGGTTAAGTCATGGTGCAAGATAAACAAGCAAAGCGCCCTTAGATAGTGCCGGATGCGACGAACACTCATTTAAAATTCTTGACTCCTGGATGCAACTATTCGGCCTCCATGGATGTCCGTGTTGCATACGCACGGAAATGAAGGCGTTTTGACTATCCGGGCACTCCAGGCTGCGCGGCGGCGCAGGATGGATCGAGTCAATCAGAGAGGTCGACATGAAATTTTTGATTAAAACTGCAAATTTATGTGTTTAATTCGTCACATTTTATTTTTTAAGGTATGCTTCTACTAGAAAATTTCACAAGAAAACCAGTAGAATCACCTTTAAAATCTCAAAGTTTTGTATAAATGGAGTTATAAGCTTTTGTAGTTTCCAAATTTTATCCGACCTCTCCCATTGACTCGATTCACAGTATTGCGCGACGCCAACGGCGAACCTCATTGTGCTTCCGATCCTCGCTAATCGCGCTAATCGTGGTGTTTGTGAAACTCTGATGAGGAAACATGTATCAGAATTTTTAAATTCACACCTCGTCTAGTAGCCCATTCTGAACTTTGGCACCCTTCATTTTGAGTTATTGCCCTTCCCAGTGTTGAAGACGCAACGAAATGGTTGTTAAACTCTTATACAGACCGAGAAACAAGCGATTCAGTGCGAGGCTCGTCGCAGGTGCGAACCTCGAGCAAGATGAGAGCGCACAAGAATTATAATTCCAACAGCTCACTGGCTCACTGGCTCTCCTACAAAATAATGAATTCTGGTCAAGTACTCACCGCACATTTAATGACTTTGCACCGGAACCATCCTGGCATTGAATTACATCTCTATGAATCACGAATCCGCCGCAATAGTGCCAAAATTTGTGGAATATTTGGATCCCTCGGCATGATTTCGTGATTCGTGTCTCGCCTTTTTCGTTGAAGTAGACTGGTGGCCAGAAAGACTGAGTTACAGCGTTACCACGCGTTCTATTTTGATGACTTCCTCAGAAGTGCTTCTTTGTCATCTCTTTCCAAACCGAGATTTCTCGAGGAAAAACGGTTCCCTACCTAAATGCATATCGAGGGCTAACGGACGATACCACCTAACTGACAATTTTGGCAAAAATGAGCTAGCTGCTTTGCCGAATTCTAAAGTTTAAAATTCGCAAGCTGATGAATTTGGTTTTTTCCCCCAATTGACCCGCACGTCGTCACCTTCCAGGCAAAGTATCACAAGCGCCATGCGACGTTTAAAAATTTCCGCCGCCATTTTATTTTTTTACTGAGAAATTGTTGGTTGAATCTGTTCGAAAATTTCACTAAATTTTATCGGCAGCACAAAGAAAATTTGATGTAATTTTCGGACAGGTTCGTTGAACAATTTCTCTGTAAAAAAATATAATGGCGGCGGAAATTTTTAAACGTCGCATGGCGCTTGTGATTCTTTGCCTGGAAGGTGACGACGTCATATATAATACAGACAGCCTATACATTGCCGTGCTATGGAAAAAAGTCATATGAGCCTTCAGACTAGTTGCCAAATTCCCTCTGATAAAATGTTTATATTCGAGGAGAAATGTAAATTTTTTCTCTTGGTATTTTTAGATAACTTAGATCAAATCGCGAATAAATTTCTTTGAAAAATTGAAAGAAAAGCATTGACAGATTTCCCTGGCAATTTTTATTTTATCCCACGAGATTATTGGCCTTGTCTGAAGGCTCCTACGGAGTTTCCCCTTAGCGCGGTTGTACAAGCGACGTGATTTTCAGAGATTTTTGAAAATATGACTCAAAATTCAGGAAAATTATAAAATGATCGATCAATCATCAAATCGTTTCCGCAACCACTGTGATTCGAATCCTCCTTTTGAAGAAAATATGCAGAGCTGCACAGGAATCTCTTGCAAGCGAGTAGCATGCTTGCATGCGACATATCATGATGGACATGCCGCGTTGCCACATGCCGCGATCAACTAGGGAGAAAGTGCCTTCAAAATCATGCCTATGCAACAATGCAAACAAAAATGAGGGTCCATTCCACGTTGCCGCTTCGTTCCTAAAGAAGCAGAGATAAGGACTGCATATAAGGTGTAATGGCGTGATTGCGCATCTGTGCTTGGCTTGTGCTCTCTCACATCTCTCGTCTTCAAGCAATACCCCCTCACTGAGAGCGCCTCAGAAATTACACGTTAAGAACTTGAAAATTCATGTGCAATTGAAATGAAATTTTTAAAAGTCTCCAAAGTTTTATGAAAATTGCCCACAAACAGGAGAACTTCATAAACTTTCACGTGAAATTTCAAATTCCCATTTTTTTTGCCAAATTTTTTATCTCAGCCCCTTAGAAAACTTGCCATGAGCAAATTTAATCTTTGACGCGTATCAGGTTTTTTCATGGAATGACCAAAAAATGTGATTATTTTTGTCGTAAATAACACATTCGATTTTACATTATTTCCTAATTCTCCACAGACGAAAATACTAAAAAAAGGGGGGAGAGGGGGGTCAATAATTAATCATTGTATCAATTAAAAAAATACTTTTTTTGATTGATAATTCGATTTAAAAAATAATTTTTTGGATTCATTTTTCAATTTAAATAATAATTTTTTTGATTGATAATTCAATTTAAAAAATAAATTTTTCAATTGAAAGATTTCCTGTTTTGAATGTAAACGCGTTTTCTAAGAAACGAACACTTCGTAAGTCCACAGAGCTAAGTATTCAGCTACGCGGTTTTCGTCGAGCAGTCAACGAATCGAATCCTCAGATTTCAACGGTAAATGCTCCTTAGCGTCCTGAAGAATATATTTGCTCAAGGTTAAAGTGGATTTCGTGATAATGGAGCGCGTAAGATGTGAAATTGCAACATTTCATTTGCAATTTCGGGTATATTTTCATGTTTCACGGCAAAGAAAGCTTTTACCGTCATTTGCACATTCGATCTGACAACACTTACTACAAAATACTACGTATAGTACTACGATGAGTACGATAACGGATTCTTGGTCTCTCATTGGTCCATTATGCTCTGAATGCTTCATTCATGAATCGCTGCGGGCAATATGGCGGACTAGCGCACGCGCCCTCACCTCACCTCACCTTTGCGATTGTTTACTAACATTCCGACCCCACGTGCAATCATACTTATTCACTTTTTTTAATGACAAATGTTCTAAATAGAAGTAAGTCAAGCTATAATCCGCGAGTTTTTTTCTTTTGCTGTTACGCATCTTTGCTCTTACCTTATATTTCTAAAGATTTTATGGTCTGTCTTACTCACTATAGTGTATATTCATCCATGCTGCTAGGTACAGATTCCCTGTCAGTCCTCAATCACTGGCAAACCTTCACTATTGCAATACCTCTTAGGTCTAGGGGGTATTGACTATGATACTTCCTTCAGTGTACCTTTGTTCAATTCGTGCATGACTGAATCTGTTCCACGAGATAAATCTTCCCGAAGTTAATGCACGGACCCTTGGACTTCACTGAACAAGTGTCAAGAACCAAGTTACGTAAGGAACTTTTTGTTGACTGATATGTGTGAATTGAATGTCTGAATGTGTGGAAGCCATGCTCAATATCAATATAACATTTGATCTTTTCCTCTTTCAGAGTGGAGAATGGTTTCATCTAAAGATGCTCGAGGCAACACCCGCCTTAACCTCTCTTGGAGATTCCTTAGAAGAAGCCACTCAGCTCCAAAAAACTCACGAAGATGTCATCATGAAAATTCAGGTAAAAGATAACTCCTTTTCCCTCATTCAAGTTGCCAACCTATGTCATAACGTTCTGTGCCCTTGCCACACAGGTAACATTCAGTGGTAATGCTACGTAAATTATCACCTTTAGGTACCTATCCCAAATTGATCTATAGGTGGAGTTCTATCATCATTTTATCAGTAGCCCAGAGCCAAAGGGCAGTTAAGTAACTATAATTGTTGACTAATTTTTCAAAACTTTTCAGTTGTAATTTTGACAACAACCCTTATCTTATCTAACTACCTTTTGTGGAAAAATGGACACCTCAGTATATAAGACGAGTAGGTAAAGATAACATGCAGGAGCTTACTGAGTTGCTGATTTTCTATCCATTAGGTATTTAATTTTAGGATCTGATTGTGTTATCTCCTCTTTTATTCAATCTTTACTTGTTCCAGAGCAAGCAAAGTCCAACAGAAGAATTACTTAGAAAAGCAGACCAACTGATAGCATCTCAGCGACCTCGACCAGAAGTTTATGCAGCAATGGCGGAGTCCTTGAGCCAAGCGTGGGAAGACGTCATCAAACACCTTATGCGGCGGAGAGATATTTTAAATCTAAATGTCTCTTACCAAAGGTACAGATAACGATACCTAAGTTTTAAAGGTATTCAGGTTGTAGGAAAGCATCGAAAAAAGCTGGTACTGCAGGATGTCATCTATCAAGGTTGAAGAAATGAATCTTACCATGAAGAGTTTTAAGAAAGTTGATACGTTTGCTATTTGACATGGAATGTTCTTGCATGCTTTAAAGCCATGAGCTAAGTAAAATTTTGTAAACTGAGAATGTCTCTTACAAATTGCAAGAGTTTTGCAAGAACTCAGATTTGTAATTGTCAAAAACTTGTTCTCCTAATGAGCTTGTTCAGCAATTCGTAATTCTTGCATTTTTGGAAACTAGAGAGTGCACAGAGTTCACAGGAATTTTCCCCGATTTTTTTGAGCAATATTAACCCACGAAATACGAGTCCAAAAGTCCGTATTTTGGGCTCCCATTTAAACGCGCGCCGCTTGGCCCATCTCAAAATGGCGCCCATTTTCTCCGTCCGGCGGTGGCCACACTTTTGACCCGGCGTGCCGGCGAGGTACCTCTGCATGCCTCTGCCGTGTGTGGGTCGTATAAACAAACGAAGATTGATAACACAAATGATCCAAACAACTCGAAATCTCTTAATTTTAATTAATTTAAATCCATTTTCGACTTCAACCAAGCATTTGGCAATAATATTCATCGTATTTTACAGCCAGGAGCCACGGCCTATCGGCTCATTTTAAGGTGCATTCTGAAAATCAGTCTTACAAGTCCAGTGTCCAAACCCAGACTTTCTTCTTTTACTTTTTTTGACCATTCTCTTTTCATTTTCGCCTCAAATCAAATGTTTTGCAGTTTCTTTGTCTTAAGTATGTGGTCCTGAATTCATTCAAGAGTTAAAAGTTCACCATTCATTTAGTATTATAGCCTTTTAACCTCTCAAGCTTTACCGATATGATCTCATGCAGTTCGAGGTTTCTTTGGCCCAAACCAAGTGATTACACATCTGATGTGTGTCTTATGGCTCTTCAAATTCGCAGTTTAGAACTAAATCAGAGACTACAGTTACTTAATCCAGTTCTGCTCTCTTGCTCAATGTTTGTCATAAGTGTTTGTTCGTGTCTGTTCTTTATAAGTGACCACTGTAGTGCATATACACAGTTATGCTATCGGTACAGGTATTATTTCTTGTTTTCTACAGTCAGGACTTTCTCTTAAGCGCAATAATTTACCAAAGAAATTCACCTAGTTGCGTAAATAATTTGGTGTATAGATATTCTGTTAATGTCTCCTTGCGGTGATTCAAAGTTTCTGAGATCTATCACAAGTGGATTCTGCATTTAGACGGTCACTCTTGTCTGATAAAATTACTGCTCTAGAAGCTTCAAATTTATACTTTGATCTCTGATTCATCACTAAATGACACTCATGCGGTGTCATTTATCTTTAATCAGTTCAAAGCTATTTCGACAATGAATCATCAAAGGTCCGATCGAAGAAGGAATTTTCTGGTGAGTGCTGCGACTGAACCGACATCACAACTCTACTTTCAAAAGCATCAACTTATAAAAATTTATCGAAGTGGTAATGGTAAGAGGAAATCATGGTAGTGCTCGCTTCTTTCATGAGCAAATTGTCCGCTCAAAATTTCAAAATCTACTCACCTGCATGTATATTTGAAGATGAATACGACATGATATGTAGCAGGCTACACTTCATCTATGAATAATACGTAAATTTGTCTTGAGAGCATTCTTAGGAAACTTCCACAATTTTTAGTCTTGTTCCTGAGAGAAAATTTGGAGACGACTCTGCTGGTATTCCCAGGGTTTTTTCAGAAATTTTGTACTTCATAGGTATCATCAAATACTTAAGTATCAACAGATATTGTACAAGACAGAAAATTTATTTGAGGATTCCTGCTAGTATGTTGTGTTTCCTGCAGAAACAAGGATCATCATATTTCATGGAATGAAGTAATCAAAAACTACTTACTTACCTACAGCTTGGTCAGTTTCATGTCTTCCTAGAGTGAAGAAAATATTTTTTTTTTCTCTCTATTTAAGAATTCAGGGTGAATCAAACCTGTCCAACAAACATTTTAATAAAATCCCTTTGTTCAAAAACACCTAAGAATCATTTCAATGGTAAAGTTGCCAACGATTCTTGTTAAAAGTCCGAAAGTCGGCTGGTTTACTGAATTTCTCAGGTACAGATGGATGGAAGGATTTTGAAAAGACATAGAATTACATCCTCCCATAAGTATAAGTCAGGAACATGGTTAAGGTTATCTGGGGATGACATTTGTAACATTCGTTGCATGATTTTATAATCGAAGAGAAACAGAAAGTCTGAAACTTTGTAAATCTACGTTAGTGGTTTTCTAGTTAGGCTATGACATTGATATGCTCGTTTTGTTATCAATTAATCTCCACAAAGGTAAGCATACTTACAAAAACTGTACCACAAGAGATGCGAATGTAACTTGTGATACCTAAGTGACTTTACAAATCTTACCTGTTAAACTACCAGCTGCCCGATTATTGAAACTATGTCAGCCCGACATGAAAAGACATAGCCCTATCATATCCATGCAATATATTCGAATTTGATGTCTTGTCAGGTTGCTCTAAGCCTTCAATAATCGGCCTGCTGATTAGTTGCAAAATATTTCCACTTCCAGACGAATGATCATGTCTTGGTTGATGCTTTCGATAGTAGAGTTGTGATGTCGGTTCAGTCGCAGCACTCACCAGAAAATTCCTTCTTCGATCGGACCTTTGATGATTCATTGTCGAAATAGCTTTGAACTGATTAAAGATAAATGACACCGCATGAGTGTCATTTAGTGATGAATCAGAGATCAAAGTATAAATTTGAAGCTTCTAGAGCAGTAATTTTATCAGACAAGAGTGACCGTCTAAATGCAGAATCCACTTGTGATAGATCTCAGAAACTTTGAATCACCGCAAGGAGACATTAACAGAATATCTATACACCAAATTATTTACGCAACTAGGTGAATTTCTTTGGTAAATTATTGCGCTTAAGAGAAAGTCCTGACTGTAGAAAACAAGAAATAATACCTGTACCGATAGCATAACTGTGTATATGCACTACAGTGGTCACTTATAAAGAACAGACACGAACAAACACTTATGACAAACATTGAGCAAGAGAGCAGAACTGGATTAAGTAACTGTAGTCTCTGATTTAGTTCTAAACTGCGAATTTGAAGAGCCATAAGACACACATCAGATGTGTAATCACTTGGTTTGGGCCAAAGAAACCTCGAACTGCATGAGATCATATCGGTAAAGCTTGAGAGGTTAAAAGGCTATAATACTAAATGAATGGTGAACTTTTAACTCTTGAATGAATTCAGGACCACATACTTAAGACAAAGAAACTGCAAAACATTTGATTTGAGGCGAAAATGAAAAGAGAATGGTCAAAAAAAGTAAAAGAAGAAAGTCTGGGTTTGGACACTGGACTTGTAAGACTGATTTTCAGAATGCACCTTAAAATGAGCCGATAGGCCGTGGCTCCTGGCTGTAAAATACGATGAATATTATTGCCAAATGCTTGGTTGAAGTCGAAAATGGATTTAAATTAATTAAAATTAAGAGATTTCGAGTTGTTTGGATCATTTGTGTTATCAATCTTCGTTTGTTTATACGACCCACACACGGCAGAGGCATGCAGAGGTACCTCGCCGGCACGCCGGGTCAAAAGTGTGGCCACCGCCGGACGGAGAAAATGGGCGCCATTTTGAGATGGGCCAAGCGGCGCGCGTTTAAATGGGAGCCCAAAATACGGACTTTTGGACTCGTATTTCGTGGGTTAATATTGCTCAAAAAAATCGGGGAAAATTCCTGTGAACTCTGTGCACTCTCTAGTTTCCAAAAATGCAAGAATCACGAATTGCTGAACAAGCTCATTGTTACAATGCGTAAAAGAATGGGGGGGAGGGGGTGTCACTTTTTCAATTTTTGTCCGAAAATAATGAAAATTTTTAAACATTTGTGTCCACTGCATTAGTGGTTGGTTCTTCATCCAAGATACTTAGGTCACCTCACAGCAATGCAGTGTAGGTTACTGTTTGTGAAAAAAGATGAATTTTCCATTAACGAACCGCGCCAGGAACTCATTGGTACACATCCATACAACTGACTATAAATTCTATTATACACACGCAAAAAAAGGGCAAGAAAGAAAATGGGTCTGTTTAGTGAGTTTCCTTATGACAAGTTTCACTGTTTCTCACAAGTTTCCCTGGATTTATTCTCTAAGTCTCTTTTGTTTAATAAATATATCCACTTTTTTTCAGTCGAGCCAAAATTTATTTTGAAAGAGTACGAGCATTAGAATTACTTTGTAGCGGGTCACCGATACCAGACAATGTCGAATTGATACGAGAAAATTTAGAGCATTTACAAGAAGTGAAGCGTGCCATGCTGGAGTCTCTAATGTCGACACTTCAGGAAGGAGAAGTGATGCTTGAAACCTTAAGAATAGTGGCAAATGAGAAAAAAGACTCCAGACCAGATGGAACAAGAACTTCCTCTCTTCTAGGTAAGAAGAATTTTGTTTTTTCTGAAGTTGAAGCGTCCATTTTTTAGCCTCATATTCAACATGAAGACTGGAAGAGAGCACCTCTTTTTTTCTTTTTTCCATTTACTAACCCAAATCAATTATTTTCACTGAGTGAGGAAGAAGCTCAAAAATGTTAACCAAACATGTGAATTGTTTACATAGTTTCTTCTTTGCATGTCTACTAACTAATGAACCATGTGATTTCTTGAACTCGCTGATACTTAGTGTTTACTCAAAATGCAGCTTGAAATCTTTGTAATACTCTAAAAATGATGACGCATACCTTCAAAATATCTCATGATGATCTGTAACTTTAAAATTCATCAATATCTGACAAAAGTAAGTGTCCAAATGTATCTTACCAGTATGTCATTGGAGCCACTGGCAGTGTTAAACCTCCGTGATATTATGATTTTAATGAAACATTTTGACGGCGTAAGTCTGCAGTAACATATCTTGTTTGCGGTGTCTAAAAATCTCCGCCTCTATGTTATTTTTCAAAGGAAAACAAATTGACATCATCCCTCGAAGTTTTTGCAGAATTTTCTTCGCCCAGAGAAGAAAAACCAGGGCAGTTTAAAAGAATTGATGTTGAGTAGTTTTCCGTTTAAAAAATAAAGTATGACAGGAAGTCTGCTACGTCGCAAACTGATTTATGTGATTTCCGACTTAAACCGTCGATTTGTATATCCTCTACAGTTTTTCCAGACGTATTTTAAAGTTCTTTGATGAATGAAAATGGTTTTCTGAATTTGTGAAATATTGCTACCTAGCAGAATCTCTTAGGTGTAGAAACAGCAATATGATGTGCTGCCTGGATGCAACAAACGCACATTCTTGTTATCTCCAGATTGCATGAAAGGAAGGCATGACGAGCAATTTCAGGAAATTAGCATATATATTTGGACTTTTGAAAACAGGGCGAGTGAATATGTTGATAAAATTTTTAGGAAATAGATGGATTGGATTGTGAAGATTTAGTGTCAGATCGAGGAGTTGTTGTGCATTTTGGATTTTTGTTCCATCCTGTGGGTGTTGAGGTCATCAAAGTTTAAAGTATGATTCAATTTAACTTTTTCTGTTTTCTTTTTAGCAATATCACAAGTGGAGCATTGGATAGAGCAGCTTCATGACCAACGACACCTCATTGAACAGATCTGGGCACGAAGAAGAACTTTATTGGAGCAGAGCCTTGCTCTATCACTTTTAGCAACTGATTTAACTTTATTAGAATCTCTTCTGTTTGATCGACACGAAACTTTAAGCCGATTGAAGAACAACCTTGGAAGCTCTGAGACTGAAGCAAAGTCCTTGTTAGAATCTCTGCAATCTTTGTTACCTGAAGCTAAAGTAAGTTCTTGTAGATCTTGTGCCTAAAATATTTTCATTTATCATTTACCCCTTTGTGCTTTAAATCAAATTAAAGAATTCAATGTCTCTTGTGAATGACACAATTACTGTCTTCAGCACTTGCTCTTTTTACATAAAATTTCAAAAGCTTAAGAAAAAGCTCTAAAATTGAAAATCCTTACAGAACTTTAAAGATGCTCATAGCATCATGGCTGATGATCAGATTATGGAAAAGACAGTTTGGAACTATTTCAGCTTTTGACAATTTTTTTGGTGGAATATGTTCGAATACTTCATATTCTTACCAATAGATCATGTATTGATGGCTTAATGAAATGAAAGAACTCCAATCCAAATTTGAAAAATCTCTAATTTCATCTTATTTTTATAGAAGAAAACTCCTTGAAATTGTCTGTTGTTTGATTTAAATGTGTGAAATTAATTTGTGGGAATTTTCAAGAAAAATTGTTGGTTGATGTTCTTGAAAATAAATGGAATATGAGCCGAGTTTTCTAATGTCACAATCGGAGGAACATATTTTTTTATACTCATCTAAGTTTCAGGGACTGCGTAAACCAGTGGATAGGTATACTTGTCTGTAGTTTTGGAAGGATTTATAATCAGCCATAAATTAATTCTTCCTTCCTCATTGAATTCTGTCAGTTTGTATCGTCCTCAAATATCGTATGTAATGTTCCTCTCCAATTTGCTTGTACCCTCAACTTTGGTTAATTTCATAATGTATTTCTTCTTGAAGGAGCTTCAGGAGCAAAGTTTGAAAGTGTTGCGAGCGGGAGAGCAGTTACTCATGGGTGGCCACCCTGTGAATGCAGATTCTTCAAAGCGCGGTTACAGCATCCTCCAATCATCTGCAGAATACATTCAGGAATTGCAAGGGAGAGAGGAGTTACTCAACCAAGCAATTCAATTTTATCAATCTGCAAATAATGTAATTATCATTTACTTTATTCAATATTTCTCTTGTAAATCAAGTTGAACCACATAAGACTGCATGAAGAGAGATTCCTGGAATTTATCATGCTAAATTGGAATATCATTTAGGGACTGCAATGTGTTGCATTGCAGTATTACTTTTTTATGGATAGGTAGATGTTTTAAAACTTTTAAGTGGTGCACTAATTATTGCAATGGACCAGTAGACAAGGTGTGAATTCATTGTTTACTCATCCAAATTTCATGAAGATTACGATTTGTGCAGTAAAAATTACTGAAAATAACTCCTAAGAAAGATCCTAACGATTTTTATGCATAAACTAAAACTTTCTGCTTAAGAAAGCTATAATAACCTTGAGTAAAATTGCACTCTAAACATTACTGTAACAGTCTCTTCAGTATGATAATATGATCCTCAAACTGGATGCTTTGGCTCAGCTTTCGTACATTGTTTACGTTTTGAACAACACAGGAGGAACAGTACCCAATTAAGAAGCCAGCCACAGACGTTTTAGTGCGCGATTTGATTAATGTAGATTCTACTTTTTATCTTGCGCAGGAAATTCAAATATTTCAACACTAGTACTGAAGAAAAGTATAAATACCATGGTCAGGAGTTAATTTCTGTGAATCCTGTTGTTTGGGAAATTTTGAAGAGGAAGCCTGTATTAGAGTCCTTAAATTTGTAGGTACCTCATGTAGCGATGTATTATCTTAACAGTTTCAGAAGTTGGGTAAATGTTGTAAGTAAAGGAGGTGGCTAGTTTTCATACAATGGGAGGAAAGGTAAAACGTTAAAAATCAATCTTTGATTTAATCTAATTTTTCATTAAAATCCTATAAAATCCTCTGTCACTGTGAGGAAAACTAATCTTAAAATAGACAAGATAATCTCATCACAAATCTATAAGCATGGTGAAAGTTGGGAACAAATATTTCATCCTCAAATTACCTATTTAAAATAATTTGCATGGTGCTTGTCTCAAATTTTATCATATATTTTAAACTCCACATCTCTCAAAAAGTTTGTATTCAGACTCAAGATTTAAAGGCTCCATCTTCTATGAAAAGCCAAGCTCCATGTTACCAGAAAATCACAAATTTTCTTGTGCATGATCACTTGCAAAAGAGTTCTAACCAGACTTTTCCCTATTTTTGCTGTCAGGTTTTTGCAGAGCTAGACAAACTACAAGTTGAAATAGATGTCCAAAGGCAAATTGATGTTTCAGTTATTGAGAGGTTAAATCAAACCACAAATGAGGTAATAGCGCAAGGACGGTTAATATTGAAAGAAGCTCCAGGTGCTGAGGTAAGCTGTCTTTCCTCCTCTCTCTCACAACTTTAATTTACCGAGGCAAAAGATTCCTTCAATCTAATCCTTATGAAAAAGGCTGAGCAGGTAACAAAAAAAATTATGATACGTACATAGGTACAATGCCCAATAAAAATACACAGGAGAAGCTGTATTACCCTCAAATTTTTGCATCCATGCACACATACTTAATATTTTTTTATCAATTGATCAAAGAGGTGTGGTTGAACTGTAAAAATTTCTAAGGCACCTTGTTGCCTTGCGGGAGAAAAATCCATTATCAAACAAGAAGGAAACAAAACAAAATGACGAGATGGTAAGCGTATAAGAGGACATCACAAATTAAAAACAAATACATTTAACTTAAATAGCACCATTGAAATGAGCAGAAACTAGGGACTTAGAAGCCCCTAGTGACGGGCTCTAAAGATCAAAATGAAAATTATTATAAACCTTGCTTGCTCTTGATACAACAGATTTAAGTATTTGAGCCAGAAACTTAAAAAAGTCAGCACTGCTGCTTGCTCTATCTAGATTCTCTTCTGAACACCAAAAATATAGTTCCAAGTATGATCAAACCTCAAAAAAAAAAAATCATTAAAAAATGTTTTAAAAAAATGAAACCCCCCGACTGTTTGCTCATTCTTTTGATAGACTCCAAGCAAAGATTCATAATGTTTCAGTGTGCAGGAGGTACACTTATGTTGACCACACAATCAACATTACACTTTACTATTTTTGCTCAATTTTCATATCCTTTGTAGCACCTAGTTATGGATATTTTAATACAAAAACGAGTGTGGACAAAGGTTTTGTACCTATTCAAAATATATCGTAGTCTAATATCAGGAATATGTGTAGAATGTTCTTTGCCTCCTCATTTTTTAAAATAGCCCTCACATCAATGTGCACATGAATCTATGCCCCTCATTCTCCTCTTAACGCAAGAAGCATGTCAAACCATTTTTCGTGCAAAAATTCGCAAATAGGTAGATTCAAAATGTCACCATTTTGAATGAATAAAGAAACTTATGAAAGCCCTAATGTTTTCAAATTTTTGGTAGCATTCATAGTTTTTTAGACAATCAAACCATGACCAGCCTGTCGCATTCTAAGCAATTTCTTTGCCCCTCTCTAACATCAAAAAGTATTCTATCCATGTATTTTTGACGCAAGATTTCATTTTCAGCCTCTCTAATCGTGCTCATGAAGACCATAATTTGTTTAATAGTAAGTTTTACCTTTAATTTTGCAGGGTATCAAAAAAGTGTTAGAAGAAATAGAAAATCGCAAAGTAAACCTGAGCGTGTTATATCAAGAAGAGCATATCAAAATTTCAGAATTATTAAATAGTTTCCTAGAAAAGCAAAACGAGGTGAGTTCATAAACTATCTTTAGTCTTTGATATTAAGTCCAACAGGAATTTAGCCATTCCAATACTGGTCCAGGATTGGGGCTCCTCGCGGTGAAGGAGCAAAAATATTTAAAAGAGACCTTGAAAGGCACTGCAACATTTATTAAATAGAGCAAAATGGTGACCCCAAAATTTGTTAAGATTTTGTCAAAATTTGCCAGAGAAATACCTTGTATTGATGGCAAATTTTGTTTTGTAGGCAGAAGTCTCAACCTAATGTCTCTTATATTTTAGATGTTGAATTTCTCTGATTAATTTCACCCATCAACCATAATGAAGACAGCTCTTAGTAAATAAATAAATTGATTTCAAAAAAAATATTTATGTATATGGTTGTCTAGCTCTTTCCTAATTGTCTCTCTTGTATCTAGTGATGATATTGTTCTCTCGAAACTAAGTTGTGATTACGCAAATATCTTTACATCAAAATCTCTTTACTTCGGTTTACTTACTACTACCTTAAAATCGGTTTCCTTCAGCGAAATACCTTTAAGTGTGTAAAAATTGGAATCATTTCTTGTACACCTCATGAGTATCACAACTGTGTACAAAAATAATAATCCTTCATTGTCTCTCCGTCCAGCTTTATTCGTGGCTGATAAATGACCCGGAAACATTTGTTAGAAATAACAAAGATGTTGGACATAGTGACATCGTTGCAAGGAACCAGCTCACGTCACATTTACAGTTGCTAGAAGAAATGCAGGTATGGATCAATTTAATGGATTTTTTTTTCAATTTTGAGTGACTACCTATGTTCAAAATTTCCAGACTGTTTGTACTCTAGTAATCATGGTCGCAGATATGGATTGTTGGCCCTCCAAAGAGAAATTAATTATTTTTCTCTAAGTCGTGTGACATTCATACCTATGTTCAAAATTTCCAGACTGTGCGTACTCTAGCAATCATGGTCGCAGTTATGAATTGTTGGCCTTCCAAAGAGAAATTAATTATTTTTCTCCAAGTCGTGTGACATTCATTTGTTCCTCAAACACGCAAGACCAATTTAAATGCAAAAAACTTTGGTTTGAGGCTAATCAAGAAAAGTTCCATAGAAGGGCCCCTTATAGTCCTCAGCAATGTGTATTCACAATGAAATCTTCATTGTTCACAATCACTTTTGCTTTCACCCATTGATGTGAAATCACAAAAAGCTTTGCATAGTATTTTTGCAAAAGTCTGTCACAATAGTTTTATGTCCCTGTCCAATCTTCAATGAAAGCAAGTCAGCAGTGAAGAAATGATTAACTCTCACTTTTCCATGATTCATGTACTTTCAGATACGATTCGAGTAACTTCATCTGCCTGTCAAGGAATGCAGATTGTTTTCCTGGATTAAAATTGTTTCTAGTCTCAGTGTTTTAATCTCATCTGGGCAATATTTCCTTTTTACTGCTTTTCAATAACTTGAACATCTTGGAAAGCAAAATGTGTAGTAGCATATCCTTAGTATATTGGTAACAGAAACTGAAACTAAATTACGGACAATCATAAATTAGGTTCCTAATTCTTGAGTTTGAAGCAGAGGCTCCAATTGATAAAGAAAATACAAATTTTTTCTCAGTAGTGACTAGTGAGTATCAGACTGCCATTAGAAAGAAATTAATTTTGTCTGACAAACTCTTACAGTAGTCTTGTTAATTTTATATCATGAAACTATTGGTCTAATGAATTCTTTTCTTTTTTTTTCTTCTTTGCTTAGGGAAAAGGCTGTGAAATAAATTCACTGTTAATGAGTTTGCCACACGACTTCCTGGATCGTCTCAACTCAGAGCAAAAATTAGATGTCACAACAAAAATTGAGGAGCTCCATAAGCTTTGGGTTCAGCTGAAGAATGTTCTTGAACGGCGTGTCTCACTTCTTTCAGCGTTCATTCGAATTTACAGCAAGATACAAACTGTATTAAGCGAGTTTGATTCCCTGGAAAGTGATATCAAAGTTGATGGAACAATGGATGATGCAAATTTCAGGACATTGAGGGAGTATTGGGCCACAACAGAGGCGCATTTCCAAGAACTGCGTCAAGAGGAAACAAACTTCCGGCAAATTGTAAACGAGGTGAGTTTTTGTTATCAGTTTTTTCTGATCTTATCAGGTTTACGATGGAATTGAATATTTTTTTTTCATTGTAAATTTCTTTCTTGAAGGTCCAGAGATTGTCAAAACCATCATCCTTAAAATTAGTGTGTGTCATTATCCATTCCTTTCATGTATGTCGTCTCATATGTATTTCAGCTTCAGCTGAAGTTACTTTTGCTACAATGCGAATAATATTTGGTATGTGTGTACCACAGGGTGCAGGTTAATGTTGAGGTGGTGCAAGCCATAAATGCACCGATATGCTTCTATCACACCAACGTTTATCTGTTTTTTTCTTGCCTGAAAGTAAAAGAATTTCTTTCCTAGTGTCTGATAAGGCTTGTCTGTCCTACTAGTTTTCGCCATTTTCATCCGAAACTATTATAGTTTTTCTTATTACCAAACAAACGGTTTCTTAGAAAATCCAATTTTTCAACTAGCTTAAGTTCCAGCTATTTGAAGAGGCAATGGTATCGTGCTGTCATTTTTATGATGACCAAGAGCATTGTAGCTTCTGCCGGGCTCAGTTGGTGCCTTGATACTTTAATGAGTAATGAATAAAACAGGAACTGCTTCTCAGAAATATTAGGTGAGATATGAAGTAAAAGTCATTTCATCGAAATCCAAAGCTTTCTCTCTTGAAAACTACAAACAATTACTGTCTGAAAAATTACAATTTAGTAAAAACAGTTTTAGTCCCTCGGAGTTATAGTTTCCAGAATATTTTTTGGATGAATGAGTTTTCCTGTCTAAAAAATTACATGTAAAAGATCAAACATCTCAACCTCTCAGTTTGAAATTGCATCATGACATGAGAAGTGCTTAAAAAGCAGCATGAAGCACAGACTGTCTGTCCCAAGTCAAACAGATTTTCAATTGTTTTAGGATCTCAGGCAGAATTGTATTAGAAGAGAGGCTAATTTTATTGTTTAGAAAAGTCAGCAGCATTCTCCTTATCCGTTTAATTTTTGTCCAATATCAATTTCAAAAATAGCACATATATTTTCTTGGTGAATAAACTAAGAATTTGTACCTAGTATTGACCTCTATAGAACTTGTGTGGGAAGGGGGGAGGAGGGCATTAAATATTTTAAAAGAAATAGCTTTGCCAAAAACCTACAATAAAATATTGTCACCTCTCGTCTTTTCTTCGGCGCTGCATTGTTTATTTATTCACAGTCATATCCACGAATATATGTGGAGTACCTTGACGTAGAAACTCCTTCAAAACGCCAGGTATACAGCTTCTCCTACAGCTGTGTACCTCTCGCATCGCGCAGGCGATTTTTATCGTCAGTTCCCTCCAACTTGATCGTCAAAGTCAAATCGCATTCGTGATCATCCAAGCGCTACCTTGTTAACAGCAATTCCTCCCACAATCGGTACCAGTGTTTTGAAATCCGATTGATCGTTAGGAATATCTATCCGCTCTACTTTTACTCAGTCAGAAAATCGCGAATCAGGGAATCAGCGATTCTGCGTAAACCTTATGATAATCTTTTCCTTAATTATTGCTAATTTGACTGTGAAGTCGCGTGGGAATTGAAGAGGTGTCCCTGAAAATGTCCTGAAGACTTTTCCTTACGCCGATGGCAAAAATACACGGTGGAAAAATTCCTCGCGAGCGAAAATTTCAAGTGATGACACCACTTTGACCCCGAGAAATTCAACACGGCGCCAAAATGTCGCGCAACCTCTCAAAGTTTAAAGTTACTCTGATGCACAAAATTCTCATTTATCCGTGACTCGGCTAAGCCGCTGTCTTTAGCAGCGTTTTTTTTCTCTCTCTCTTTTAAGCAACTAAATATCCGGCCGAACGGGAGGAAGTTGAAGTTATTCAACTCTTAGGAAACTTCATCAGAAAACCGTAGTTCAACCACAATTCCGTAACTCCGCACAGTAGATCAGGTCAATCAGAGAGGACATGACATTTTTAACTTAAACTGCAAATTTTGTTTTTTAATTCGTCACACTTTAAATTTTAAGGGGTGCATCTCCAAGAAAGTTCCACGAGGAAACCAATGGAACCACTTTTAAAACCTCAAAGTTTCGTATGGACGGAGTTATAAGGTTTTAAAGTTTCCAAATTTTGTCCGACCTCTCCCCCTAACTCGACCCATTGTGCTCCGGTTCAATCACCACGGATAATCTAAACTTTGTTGTTTGACTCTAGTTATTGTCTCAGACGATTTTCGGTGAAATGCATGGTTTCACGCAGTGATGGCCGCAACTACAATAAGGAGATGTTCATCGTAGTATCTTTTCATTCACGATCCTCATGCGGTTAAAATTCCTGGCTGTTCAAAACGCTATTCCCGAGTCTATCCTGCCGTGCTAAGGAAAAACGCCGCATGAGCCTTCAAGCGTTGCCAAATTTCCTCCAACAAATCGCTAATTTTCAGGAAAATTTGTGAATATTTTCTTCCAATTTCTCAGCTAATTTTATTCGTAATTCAATCGAAAGTTTCCGAAAAGTCCAAGGAAACACATTCATAACTTTCCTAAAAAATAAACGTTTTATCAGAGGAAATTTGGCAACCCTCGAATGTTCATACGGCGTTCTTCCTGAACCTGAACACGGCAGTATCGGGCCTCGCACAATGCAGCCTCCAGCCATCCGCCTCGGTTCCTGCAGGAGCTATCTCCGTTCGTTTTGCCCAATATTTTCCAGGTTTTCGCCGGCTATAAATAACGCGCCGCGCCCGAAATAAAGCGTCGATTATAAATTGTCGCGGCTCCCTTCGTATCCCCGCTATCTCTACCTCGCCCTTCTCATCTCACGTTGCCCGGTCGCTCGGAAGGGGTGGTCAAAGCCCTCTTGGTGACACCATCCTGCCGCCGGCTGATTATTGACACGGATAGACAAAGCAATAGACTGAGAAGACATTGGGAGTATGGAGCGATCCCATTGGTTGAAATGGGTGGTACCTTTAGACTTTGAGAGAAAATAACGGATTTATCATGAGGTGCCGTGGTATCGTGGAGTGCCGTTAGTTAGTCTTTTACGTACCTCTTTTGCCCATTGCAACCACCCGCGGGCTGATTTTTGAAATTGATAGACAATGCGATAGACAAAGAAGACATAAAGAGTATGGAATTATCCTATCTCTGGTAAAAATTGGCGATAGGAGCTGCGTTTCAAAGTACCATAAGAGTTCTTATAGCCGACTAAAGAAGGCTATTGAAAATCATATAGCTGGCTGTAGAAAGCAGAGCAAATCATACAGCCGGGCTATACGAAGCTATAAAAAAGTATACAGTCGGGCTATAGTTCCTATCGCCGGGCTTTACACTTTATCGCCGTTGGCTATAAAAGGCTATAAGAAATTGCGTAGAAATTCGTGTGCTTTGGAAATCATTAAGTTTGAAACGGAATTACAATAATTACAATATTTACAAAACACGCATTATATTTTCCTTTTAAACATATTTTTTTTCATCAATTAAAACGAGAATAATCCATACAGAGTGTGCAAAAATTTCAAAATCATGAGTTGAAAAACGCCGACTCCGCGAGATTGAATATTAGAGCCTAACACAAAGCGGAGCGGCGACGCACTGACGCCTACAAACCTAACATGGATACTTCACGCATTGCGCAATGCGTGAAGTATCCCTTTTAGGTTTGTAGGCGCCAATGCGCGTTTTGCGCTCTCTGCCCGCCCGCCGCGCCGCAGCGAGCGTGCCATGGCGTCTGAAGCAACTATTTCACACCAGAGGTATTGCACAGTATTATAAGAAATGGAAGGCGCTCCAACATATTAAGAATGACAGGCATCCTTCAAAAGTACGGAGCTCCCCTCGCAAAATAAATCAAAGATACTACGGCATAAATAGAGAGCGGTAGTCCAAAAACTAACTAGGTCCTAGTATCCGTATTTAGTAACGTTTAGCATAAACTTTATCGTCTGGCTGTTGCTTGATCGCCATCGGCTATAAAAGGCTATAAGAAATTGTACAGCCGGCTACAGAAGCTATTGGAAATCTTACAGCCGGATTTAGGTCTATGGTATTTTGGAGCACAGATTCCACTGCCAATTTTTGCCAGGGATTGGTTGAAATGGGTGGTACCCTTAGACTTTGAGAGAGAAAAACGGACTCATTATGAGGTCTCTCGTAGAGTGCCGTTAGTTAGTCTTTTACGCACCTCTTTTGCTCATTACAACCACCCGCGGGCTGATTTTTGAAATTGATAGACAAAGCGATGGACAAAGAAGACATAAAGAGTACGGAGCTATCCAAAAAAAAAAAAAATATGGGACAATAATATTGGGTTTGTTGAAATTGGTGGTTTTTATAGACTAAGGGGGTAAATGATGGACTAACTATCGGGTCTCTCGTGGGTTGCCGTTAGTTAGTCTATTACCCACGTCCTTTGTCCATTGCAATCACCCATTTCAACCAATAGGATCCCTCCATATACTTTTTTTCCTCTTTGTCTATCGCTTTCTCTATCGATTTCAACAATCAGCTCGCTGCTTCCGCCAAAAGGATCGCCCTCTGTCTTTTATGTCTATCGCTTTGTCTGTCAATTTCAATTATCAGCCCGCAGTTGGAGACATTCGGCGGTTAACGCATGGATTGGATTTAAGATTAACGACGTGTTGTCGCAATTTTTCCACCATAAGGATCCTTCCATATCCCTTCTTGTCATCTTTTTCTGAAGCTTTGTCTATCAATTTCAATAATCGGCTTGCATGTCGATTATTCAGTTTCAATACCCGAGTCGACTGACCTTGACCGTGCGAAGCAAATTCTCCAAAAATCCAAGAAATGCACTGGAAAAAAAACTCATTGGATCTAGAGTCTGGACTCTTAAAAACATCGACAAGAAAAGTACTCTTGATTCAATCAGACTCTAGCTTAAATCAAGAACCAAGCCTCTTAATTTAAGTGGAATTCCTTTTGATTCAAGCAAAAATCCGATTGAATCAAGACTATTTTTTCTTGTCAATGTTTTCAAGAGTCTGGACTCTAGA